ATCGAGGATGGCCGCTAGATCGCATGTCTAGCTGAGACAAAATATGAAGTGCATGAAGTGGCCAGTAATCCAAATCACAAATAAAATGAATCTAAGCATGAAATTCGACTACTTCACATGTTGCTTATGGATGGACCAACGTTAGCCAAATCTGGATGTTGTTCCATGGTTGAATCCAATGTTGGTAATGTTCAATTCAAACTCTTCTAGTTGCAGCATGTTATATTCCACAAAGGCACCGTTCGCTACTCCAAGGAGTTGTTCCCCTTATAAACAATAACGTTTAATTTCTTACCCTTAAAAAAAAGTGGTCCATCATTTGGGCTTTGATCATCCACTGAAATGGAAAACCGGCCTAACTTCCACAAGGACCACTACTGAAAATTCACATTTGCATACGAAATAACCATTAAAATTAGGGAGAATATAGGTGAATATCATCCCTTCGGAACAAATATCTAATAGGAACAAATTAAAAGACGCATAGACACTGGATGTATCGATACACAAATCATCAATACCCGAAACTCGTATTACACACACTATATGAAAACTAGATAGACTTGTATACAAATTTCCAGTACCCATTGTCATAGTTCACAAGAAACATTGAAACATTGTTTCAATTAGTTTTTTAAAGCATCAAATATGAATCAAAATACCAAGTACTTTATTCACTCTACTAAAAAAACCCTCTTTTACTAGTAACAAATGTAAAAATTACAAATTTAAACTTTTTTAATGTAGTATGCAAAAAACACCTTTTTACAAGCAATTAATACAAACATGGCAAATTTAAACAGAAACAAATGAAATATACGGCCAAAACATATACGTGCCAATGATGCTCCAAGTGGGGGATAAATGCCAAGAGATGAGAGATGTATGAAAGTAAAAGGATTAAAGAGAGAGAGATGAGAGGTTTAGGATTTCTACATTTTTAGGGGGTTTAGAGTGAAAGAAAGAACTATGTGATATTTTGCCAGGGAGTATATATATATATATATATATATATATATATAATGATAATAATCACCCTATTTTTATTTTGGCAAGAATATCACTTACAGATTGTCTTATTACAATCATTCAATATTTCAAAATAAAACAACACAACAATAAATAAAACTCAACCGCTTGACGTCATTTATTCAACTTAATACTATGTTTGAGAAAATAAAATAAAAGAGCAAGAAAGTAAAAGAGAAGATGCCAGAGATTATGTCAACCGGGCTTATTACACCCCACACCGAATTACCTCATCCAATGCCGGGGGATCAGCGGTCTAGCTTCAATCTCGAACCGAGAAAGCTAATTTTGGCCAAACTAGGTAAGCACTCTTAAATCTCTACAAAACCCTAACTCCGAAATAATTAGGCTCAAACCTTAAGTTTCCCAACCCTTAAATATTTAGGTCAAGAGAGAGAGAAAATAAGACCTAGAGTTAGGGCGTGCCCCCTATGGATCTTTGGGTCTTAGGAGAGAGAGAGGGTTAGAGAGAGAAAGCCTGAGAGGAGAGAGTGAGGTGTGGCCCCTAGGGAGGAAAGAGACCCTAGGGAGGAGAGTGAGAGTGTGTATGGGAGAGCCAGAGAGCTGTGTAGAGATGGGAGGAGCACCCTTATTTATAGTGAAATCCAAGTCTAGGATTTCTTTAGGGTTTCCCATAGTTTGACTATTTTTTGAAATTGAATATGGACCGTTGATCAATGTGACTTGTGGAGTGAGAGATCTGAGCTATCCATTTCATAGATATGTTATCAATATTATGGAAGGTGCATGAACCATTATCCTCATTTCCTTAAACCATTTTCTCATAAATATATTTAAATTAATTAAATCCATTAAAGATATCGTGCATTTCATAAAATTGCATCATCCATCTCATATATTCCATAAGAATATATCAATAAATATCAAGTTAATATTTACTATATTAAATAGATAAGATATGGTCAATATTTAGTATATTACAAATTGACCATATGTCATGCACTTTCCATATTTAAATAACTTTAACACAAAGCTATCAAAAGGAATCCAAAGGGGTGGGGCGTGCCACCCCTGTGTGGCACATGTGGGCCCCACCCACATGCCACACGGTGGGCCCATGTGCACTATGGGCCCCCATGAAATTTTATAAAAAAATAATTTAATATATATATGAATTTTTTATAACTTTGTAAAATCAATAATTGTATTTTTATAAGTCAAAAAGTCATAAATAAAATATTAAGAGATTCATAAAAATTCAAACAATAAAATTTAAATAATAAAATGAACACAATTAAATTAATATGATGAGAAAATGATCCATTTGGTTTTAGGAATTCAATCAATAATTATGGGGTACTCCAGCTTCAACTGTGGACTACATACCACTTGCTTTATCGAACCGACCTAGTGTTTCCCATGACCCACAGTCCAAGTAGGGGCTCACTAGAGGGTCACCAAAGTTTGGCCGATGAGTTCAGGGGTCACAATCTCAGTCTGTAGATTACAGGTCCTCCCTTAGAGACGAGTTAATGTTACCACGACCTGATGTGACCATAGCTCTATGGTGCATAGGGGTATATCTCGCACAAGCATACGCTTCACCTAAAAGGTGGATAACTTGTTTTCTCGAACGATCTATTGATATACATGCCGTATGATGGATCATGAATGAGGTTTTGGTCCCCGTCTCTGTAGGCCTACCATCACACACAAGGTTACACAGTCATTCGGCTCACTCACCTAGGAATCAGCTCCAACCTCATCAAGGGCTCACCCAAAAACCCTTCTCAATTTATTCTTTATGCCCAAGTACCTTGGGTTTTACAATTGACTGGCCTAAATCGTCAAGCACAATCCGGTATCGACAAACATCATTTGTTTAATATAATCCTCGAGGGACCACACTCCCATCAAATTTATGTTCTACTATAATAAATATTTTTCATTACACACTTATAATGCCTTTAAAGGCCACATAAACCCAATATAGAGATAGGCTCGCAAATAGATGGGGTGTGAGGAGGAGCAGTAGAAAGAGAGTACAGTGACTGAGGAAGTAGAGAGAGAGAGAGGAGGTGTATGCAAGAGAAGAGAGAGAGGGGGTGCGAGTACAGATAGAGGGGCAAGGGGGAATGGGGGAGAACGTACTTGGGCTTTTAAGCCCTAACAATTTAGTTTGATATTCATCAAACCACTGTCTAACATAATAGAATGATCCAATGTTTAAAACATCATTCCACTCTTATGAGAATTATAGAAATCTCAATCTAAGCTAAAGCTAAAGGTAGAGAGTCGAGTTTCGAATTTAAAATAGCAGTCGTTTGGGTATGTTGAAATCTATTACATGACAATCGAGTAAATATGACATTTTCACCATTCGGGTACACTTTATTGTAAAGAAATGGAAAAAGATGACCCGATATTTCTCCAAAAATGACAAAGACATTAGGTGAAAGTGAAAAATCTATTACACGCGGGTAATCTTAAAATTTTTTTGGTGTGTTATCTCTGCCCTATCCTAGCTTAATAAAATGCCAACGCACTGGCTCCCTCTTTTTCTAAGGAAATGGAAGGAGATTACGCTATATTTCCACAAAAATCATGAAAGACATTAGGTGAAAGTTGAAAAATCTATTACACGGTTCACGGATAGTCTTTATAAATCTTTAGTGTACTTCTCAACTTAATAAAATGCCAACACGCTTACCTGGCTCCCACTTTTTCTAAGCCGATCCCCCTCTCTTGAACTTTAATAACTGGTTTGCATATGCTCCCTCCCTCTCCTTCTTCTTTATTTTTTTATTTTTTTTAAACCCCTTTATCTCCTATTTTTTTTCGCCCTTCTTCTCATTTGTACATCGGTTAGCCCCTTTATATTTAAGCCCCTTCCTCTCATATGAACTTTTATTTTTTTTAAGCTCTTTACTATCCTTTTTTTTTTTTAAGCCCTTTACTCTCTCATGTGTACCTTTTCTATTCTCCCTCCCTCCCTCCTTCGCATATGCATTATCTTTAGCATATCTAATCAATGATCAATGACAAATTACATATCACAATTATAATAAAAAATTTCATCCAATATAAAAAATTACACAACACAATTATAATAAAAAATTTCACCGAACATAATCCTCATATAGTAAAAGTTCAATTGAAATAAGATACCTCTTTCGTTTCCTCCAATACTTCAAAATTTTTTATTGCAATTATCAAACCTTCTCATTTATTAATCAAACTTCTTCCCATGTTTTAACTTATGCAATAAAGATTTTTAATTTGATATCATAAATTTATTGCTTATTTGAAATTATATATATAGATATTTGAAATACTTATATAAAAAATAAATAAAAATAAGAATTATCACAATAAAAACTTGTTTTTCCAATCATATTATTCTAATGACTTATCATGCCAAAAACATGCAAAATAAATAAAAAATGGTGTGATGATGACTTTAGAATAGTACAAGTGCAAAATAAGTAAGAAATTGTGTGATGATGACTTTAGAATAGTACAAGTTATTATTATAAAATATTTTTGAAATGGTGATGATGTTATTATTAAAAAATATTTTTTGAATGATGTAATGATGACTTTAATTCCGCATTTTCGTGAAATTTTGTAACAAAAAAAAAGGAAAAAAAAAATAGTTTATAGACAAGTACTCATAAAATGTTAGTAATGTATTTCCCATATTTCTTTCAAAACCTAGTCACACATTAACAATGTATTTACCAAATTACATTTAAATACTACCCAAACAATAACAATTCATTTATAGATAATGTAATACTTTTGTAATATATTTAATAAATAATATATTTTCAGGTATGAACGACACCTATAGGTCAAAGATTTTGAACAGGCGGATACATGAGTCCGCGGACGCACCCTCATCTGGTCATACAAAATGGGGGAGGGGCATTCTGGTCACAGGAAAAAAAGATTAAGCTTTAACGAGCAAATCTCTCGCTATAAATGCCAACATTTGAAGCTTCCTGCTCGTGACTAAATAAACGATGCAGAGGAGAGAGCAAATATCAGAGGTGAGAGGAGAGAGAAAGAAGTGAGTAACTTCCAGAGACATATGAAAGCGTCAATTGCAGGGAAAAGAGAAGAGAGACAGAGGAGACAGAATTACAGAGAAAGAGTGAAGGCTATGATGTCTCAAGCGATCCCTGAGAAAGCAACCACTATGGAGGCGAGCTCTGAGAAAGCAATCACTACGGAAGAGAGCTCGGACAAAGCAGCAATCATGCATTCTGAAGCCGTTGCTGAATCCGTTGCTGCGAGTGTTTTGGAGGACTGGTCCAATATCAGAGATGATGCCATCATCCAACAGCAAAATGCGATCATAGCTGAAGAAGCAGAGAAAATGCCATTTGTGGGTGACAAGGTAAGCCTGAACAGATCTCATTTAGATCCTAATTTTTCCATGGTTCTCTCTGTTTCTCTCTTATTTTTCTCATATTTTAAGATGGAATGGATCTTTTCAAAACCCTAATTTCTCCAGTTCTGTAGCTCATGTACTAAGAATATTTATTGGCAATTCACAAATGATTATGCCTAGTTGAGATTAGCCTTATGTCTTGCTCTAATCGCAGTTATGGTATTTAGGTTGTTCTTTTCTAGGCAGTGCATTTGTTGGTGGTTCTTGCGAGAAAATTCCATAGAGTTAATGTTCTTTTACAGTCTTTATCATGAGTATTGAATATTATAACTTCCACTAATGGCTAGGTTGAATTCTTTTTATATTTCACCGTGATCATAACATCTACATCTGCTTTAATTGTTTCCAAGTTCATTGAATATTCTTCACTGTTCTAGTCACTGTATTTTCAGATCAAGACTTCACTGTCTTTCATTTTTGTGTTTACCTTCAAAGACTGTGAATGTCAATTCCTCATCTCTTTCTGCTTCCTGTTTAACATGTATTGGTTTGCCTGCTTCTTTTTTTGTTGTGAATTCTATTTTAGTTATAGACGTTCAGATTTCTCTGCAAGTTATGTGCATTACGTTAATGATCAGCAAGAAACTCTTAATTCTTTGACATTGTCCACTTTCTTTGCATGTGGCTCATGCAAAGAAATTGTGCCATCACAGATGTGCAGTCTTGAACTCAATAAAACTTGTTAGTTATAAGAAAAAAACTTTAAAAGAACATAAAGAAATATATAAAATTATCTCAGAAGAATGTGGTTTCATAAAAAAATATCTCAAAAGAATATGGTTTTTCTGATATTTTTTTTAAAAGAGCATTCTAACCATTTCAACCTGCAAATCTGATGGCCATTTCCATATGAATTTGTTTCTAGAATTTGGAAGTGAGTGATGAAGCAAATGTTTGCATCTTAATGGAAAAATCACAGCTCAAGCTAATGTGAAACATCAAAGGATTCAGAATTACTTTTCTTTTTCCTATTTTTGCAGGAGTTGCCTTCGGTACTCAAGACTTAGTAATATGTCATTGACAAATATTTGATTTTAACAGGAAACACAAACCTTACATTTTTCTACATCTCCTTATCCCTTATATGTGTGTGTGGTGCATGATCCATCAAATGAAAATAAGGATGTCTTTAATATATGTGAAGTGTGAAGTTCAACATTTATAAAAATTTTACCTGTGAAGTGAATATTTTTATATTGGCAATATCAGTCTATATCTTATTGATGATAATCTGAGATAAACTAATGTAACAAGCTGTAAGCTGTTTCAGGAGGCTCTTTCTGCACTAGCAGCTGAATATGAATCTGGAAGCTCCATATTGAAGGAGAAGATCAAGGTCTCATGCGTTACTTATGGTTGCATTGCTCTTCCTTTAATAACAATGATAATCGTAGCACCATGATAATTGTTTAATTTAAATTTATATGAAAACACAAGAAAACTTGGTGTTAAGTCCGTTATTTTGTGCTGGGCAGATTCTTGAGGAGAAGTATGCTGCAATCAGGCGTACGCGAGGAGATGGGAATTGTTTCTTTCGGTGCTTTTTGTTTGCATATCTGGTAGTGCAAATCTTTAGGCAGTGTTATACTTTCTATGCTTAGAGTCCAATTTCGGGTGATTTTAATCTGTCTATTGACTAAGGGATGGTGTCTTGTTGTGGTTTAGGAGCATGTCTTGGAATCTCAAGACAAAACTGAGGTTGCTCACATGCTAAATAAAGTTGAGGAATGCAAGGCAACACTTCTGGGATTGGGTTACTTGGAGTTCACGTTTGAGGATTTTGTATTAGTAAGTATTTTACAACTCTTTTTCATTTTTTGTTACAGGAAGAATTCTAAAGATTATTTTGCTTTTTTATTGTGAAGGATGTATCCTTTTTTCTCTTTCTATTTAGCATTTTCTTTATTCTTTGTCCCCCATGATGGTTATGCTTATCATATTAATTATTTTATTTCACAGCAAACTTTGGGTCGGTCATTTTTTTGGAAGTGTAACGGGCAATAAGTTTCTCTGCCCTTCTTTCCTTCTTTATATTTCCTCTTATTTCGTTTATTTTTCTGTAGGATCCCACTTTAGAATATTATCATAATTACTGAGTAAATTATCAAAAAGAAGAGGGAGTACTTTGTTGACGATTACGCACAAATATACATGCTATGTGCTTAGGATTAGGAGAGTTTTAATAATATAGCTCAAAAACTTATGAAGAAATGAATTCATTGGTCTCCATAGTCCCTAGAGAACACATGCATAGTTTATATCTCTATATTCAATTTATCCTTGATGGGATTTGCAGTATGACAAAGCAAGTGCTGGTGCTGCTAAGCCTAGTTAACCTTTGAATGCATCATACAGTTTTCAATTAGAATGGGGCAATAGAGTTGTAAGAGGTTACTCCTGAGACCATGTTAGATTGCAAATGTCTGGTTGATGTGTAACTTTAATAAGCACGGGGAGGTGAACCAGATGATAGAACGACTTCCAAACTGAGGACTGTTGATCTATCATGAAAATGGCAATCATATTACTGTCTTATAGGTGGTAGAGAGGCCTGTTAACTTGGATTCACTGATCTGTGATAAAGGTCCCACCTGTTGTGCTTGTGTCTTGTAATGTTCAGGATAGGATGACAGGCCATGGTGAGTCTTGTGGCCTGAACTGGCCAATCCATTGTTTTAGCTAGTTATAAGATGGGATGCCTTTTAGAGAAGGCCTCCTAATGTTATGGACTGGGAGTACTTCATCGTTTGATTGGGAGTGATTGTAAAAAGCAATCTTACTGGCAGCTTCAAGCTATTGTCTGGTTGAATGAGTGCATTATTCTTTCTTGCATTTGGTTGCATTTCTAGATTTCATTGTTCAAAAAAATGGCATGCCTAGCACTTAGGGGATCAGAGTGCCCCGACTCTTGGCTGCCCTGTCCATAAGGCACCAGAGGTGGTGCCTGGGTGTGTGCCTCTTGCCTGAGCCAAGGTGCCTGCCTTGGTAGCCCCGTGACCAAGGGTGGAAATTGCTCTTGGGCCAGGTGCATTTTTGTCATTTTCCTCCTTTTAAAGGGGGAAATGATTGCAGCCTGCGGTTTGTATTCTAACAGCCCCAAACTTGCCTTAGACTTTTTCAAACCCCCCCCCCCCCTTCGGAAAATAAAAAGAAAAAAGAGATCTAAAAAAAAAAAACACAAAAAAAAAGAAGAAAATCTGGATTTTTAAATTTTAAAATATATATTAGTGCATAAATAAATATTTTGTCATATGACCTCTGTTTGATTTGAGAGTTTTGAGGAAAGTTCATGATCTCGTGGAAGCTGTTTCGTGAGGATTCAGGAAGGTTAGTTCAGTTTTTGGCAAGATCCTATCTCCTCCTTATCTTGCTATCGTGTTCATCTTGCGGTATTCTTGTTTCTCTGCAGTAACCTATATTAAAGGTGTTCAGCTATCGTCTTTTATGGCAATTGAGAGTATTTATGAATCATCATATACCAAGTCTTGGTTACAAGGACAAGCTGGTGCTATGTTCCCCCCCTTCCCCACCCCAAAAAAAAAAAAGAGAGACAAAAGAATATAACTCAATTAGGTTTCTCTCTCCCAAAAAAAGGATTTTCATACTAGTGAAGGCATTGTTCAGAAGAGAAGAATCCATGTAAACCACAATATAGTGGTTGGTAGAACACACAATTAAAAAGACTTGTGCATTTTGGTTCTTCAAACCAAAATATGTATGCTTATATTTGTGATAGATGTTATGTGTGGGGGCACCTCGAAACCGAGGCGCCCATCTAGTGTCTTGATGGCCACCTCCTGGCCACCTACCTAGCATGTTTGTGAACCTTACTAATTTCTAATACCTGACTCATCTAGGTTGAATCTCTTGGACTATACCCTTCTTTTTTGGTAGTTTGATCTCTTGAATGGATTGTCTTGGCAACAGCTTGAATGAATGGCTGCTTGTACAAGGTCAAACTGGCCTATTAAACAGGCCATTTGCTGGTTTAGGAAGATGCCGAATGTGAAAAGTCTTTGTCTCTGTCGGAACTCAGTGGGATCCACCAGTTTGGTCTTTTTTTTTTTGTAGTATTCGTTGAGCCGATTCTTTTCTTGTAGGTTCCAAGTGTTCGGCCATTACCCTTTTTTCACTAATTTCATTCATCAATTATGAAAAGAACTATCACATATTCATCATCATCATCGTCCGAGCCTTATCCCAACTATTTGGAGTCGGCTGCATGAATCTTGTTCTGCCATTCTGCGTTATCAAGGGCCATACCCTCAGTATGACTATAAATCCCCATATCTTTTCTCACTACTTTCATCCATGCCTTTGGGGGCTTTCTCCTTGGCCTTTTAGAGCCTTCTACTTGAACCAAATTTCACCTCCTAACCGTGATGTACAAATTCAATCATTTCTTGTCTTGCCACTCATCCATCTCGACATCCTCATCTTAGCTACGCTCATCCTATGGGTATATTGTTTATTGACCCCGCTCGACATTCTATTCTGTAAGCTCGACATTCTATTCTGTAAAACAAAGCTGGTCTCATAGCTGTCATTTAGAACTTCCTCTTCAGCTTCATTGGTATGCAGTGATCACATAAAACTCCGAATGCACAACTCCACTGCACCCAGCTCTAATTATATGTGTAACATCTTCATCAATCTCTCTATTTTCTTGGATTATCGACCCAAGATATCGAAAACACTCTCTTTTAGGTAATTTTTTGGCCATCAATCTAACTACTTCCACGTTTCTACTCCTATTATTGCTAAACTTGCATTCCATATATTTTATCTTAGTCCGGCAATTTCTTATTTTAAAAGGAAAAAAAGGGAAAAAAGTATATATAAAAAATTATAAAGGAAAATAGGTAAAAAAAGAAAGAAAAAAAGGGGAAAGGAGGAAAAAAAGGGGAAAGAAGGAAAAAAAGGGGAAAGAAGGAAAAATGAGAAAAAATCTAAAAAAAGGAGACAAAGAAGAAAGAATATCACTCATGGAAAAACCTTTTTAGATGTTTCTACCCAATACTGCTATATAACTCTTGTGCTCCTCATCTATTTTCTCTCTTCTTTGCGCCTTGCTTCTCTTCTCCCCCTCTCACTCATTTTCATCTTTAACTTTTCTCTACAGTCTCTCTTCCCTCTGCTCTCATTCCTCATTATCTCTCTTCCTCAAGCCTATCACAATGTAAGCTTTTTGGAATTGGGACTACTTCTGCTCTCTATCTTTCTTTTTGTCTAGAATTCTTTGTGCTTGATCCTATTCCCATAAAGCTTTACAGGATCCTTTCATCCCTCCCTTAGCTGTATACGCTGCTGTATCGATCATCAAGTCATTCTCAGCTTTTTCCAATGTACCTTTACCTTTTCCTCTGAAACTCAGCTTCTTCATTTACCTATCCATACAATTTCTCTCTTCTTTATCTACTCTTTACTTCTTGTTTTTGGGCTCTTTTGTCCTTTAGTTGGGTCCTTTCTATTTTTTGAGAACTGGGTTGTATGTACACAATGTACACCTTTGCTGCCTTCTTGTTAGTACATCTTTCTTTGCTACCTTTTTGTTTGTACAGCCTGAGTGCCCTTCTGAAGGCTGCCTTCTACCACCTCTCATGGTTTTTGTAATAATTGTGATTACTAATATAAGCATTCTCTCAAAAAAGAACGAAAAAAAGAAGAAAAAAAGTGAAATTTTATCTTCTTTTTCATTCTCCCTATCTTTCTGTATTTCTAGTCTCTGAAATTGGATGTGGTTCCGTCAATTAGCAAAAAGGAAATGTTTCACTTTAGAAAATCAAAAGAAATTGGATCTGATTAAACTGCAATTTTGTGTATGATTTGTAAAACTATTACAACTTCAAAACTTAGATTCATTTCCCACCTAGAAATTATTGCTTCTGTAAAATAGTGCTTGTGGTTAGTTGCTATAAAGTCCATTATTTTTTGCTTGTATTGATTGTTTTATTAACCCACTAGATATGTGTGAATTATTCAGTTCATTTAATGAGTAAACGAAAATGACGAGATGCTATTTCTTTATTCTCTTTTGTTTTTGTTCATTGGATGTCTATATACTCATGCAGCAGTTGTGCTTGCCAGTCATTCACAGATCTGCTGGAAGGTGTTATCCAAGGGACAGAAGCGTCCATCAGGTGCACATATCTGATGCTTGTGATTGGAATTATTATATTATGGTACATTATTTATCAAGAAATAATTATTTAATATTTTCTTGGTGTAGTTATGATGAGCTCTTGGATAGAAGCCGCAATGCATCAATTTCCAATTATGGTGAGAGCAACATCAAAATGCTTCGCTAGTATAAATATTCCATTTGACTTTTTTTTTCTGATATAATTTGCTGGCTAGTTGTCATGTTCTTCAGATTTGTGACATCTGCTGAAATAAAGAAGCGAGCTGACTTCTTTGAGCCTTTCATCATGGGTTTAAGCAATGTAACAGTAGAGAAGGTGCGTCCATTCCTTGAAAATGTTACATTTTCTTGATATTAATAGTCTTGCTCACCGAATGGTTTCATCAGAAGAGCTAACTGCGGGAAGTTCCCTGTGAACTTTGAACATTGCTTGATTACTTGCTAGAAAACTAAACTTTTGGATCCTTTGATCAGTGATCTTGGAGAATGATTGTCATTTACCTTTAAATGTTATTGCAATTCTGCTTTGTTAACTTTATAGAATTGAGACAGCATATTAATAAATTTATCGTCCAAAGTTCTACTTTCTTATAATTCATGAACCCAGCTATTGGTTGATTGAAATGAAAGTTTTATGCTACTTTAAAAGAGATTATCCAGCATATTTTATTGGCTTTTTCATCAAAAATTAACATTAGAACATACTATAAACTAACAGAAAAGATGATGTCACTTGCATTACTTGAAGATTTGCACAAGTAAGGAAGACAAAAGAAAAAAAAAAGAACTCAGAAGTTCTGATTAATGAAATGTATTCGGTGGTGAGATTGGAAAAAGAGTTACACAAATGTGGAAATAAGTGAAGAACAAAACCATGAATAAGGAAAATAATGATTAACAAAAGGAAAAGAGGTGTACAAAAAGAAAAAGAAAGATTTAGTGCAAGTTTTCAACAATGTTCAAAAAAACGGCGGCCCCTAGGCTGCTAGGGGGGTATAGGCCACCCAGCACCTAGGTGGGCCCCTAAGGATCTAGGCAGTCTAGGTCCAAAAGGAGGCAAGGGGTGTCCAAGATCCTAATTTAGGGCTAGATTTATTCATGCATTTTTTATAATCCAAATGGAAAACATAAAAAATGCCCCACCCACTGGGTATTTTTGCACCTAAGCGGGCGTAGTCCTTGGGCACCTGCCTAGGCAGGCGTGTAGGGTTGCTAGGCGGGCACCGAGGGACAACCCACCTACTAGGTCCACCTAGTCCCCCCCTAGCCCGCCTAAGTACCCACCTAGGCATTGGGCGGACTGTTTTTTGAAACCATGGTTCCAAGCAAGAGAGGGAAGAGGAAGAGGGGTTTTGGTTATTGGTGGTTTTTTGTTTAGTTGGTAGAGAGCTGCCCAGATGTAGGGTGATCATGGGGATGGATGGATGTTGTCTGCCTTCTTGTGAGGTGGGTGAGGCAGCGGATAGGATGTCGTGGGGGTTTATTTCAGTGCAACTAGGCACGAGTGGGGCAAGTGGTACACATGGGATGGTGGTGGCTGAGAGAGATGATGCATTCTTGGCGATGAGGCCTGATTGTGGACATGTGTCAATGGTCAATGCATTGCTGATTCTGATGGTGCCATGTGGTTAAGGTTGGTGATTGTGCCACATATGTCATTTAGAATATCATTCTCTCACCAACTACATGAACACAAGATCCACCAGATTTAAGGGGTTGCGATCTGTGCCTTACTGGTGGATATTTCAATGCAGCCTAGGTTTTTGAGGAGCTAGGGTGTTACTTCACAGCTAACATATGAAATTTTGTCAGATATTATAGGTGATTTTTTTTCTTTTCATAAATCACAAGTTGGGCAATGTTGGGAGTTGATTCTAACAGAAGATTTTGTGCCAATCAGTTTAGGCGGCTGCACAAATGTAACTGCAGATTTCCTTTCTTCATAAATTTGAACTTCTCATGTTTTTCTTTTTGATAGTGATATATATGGAACATTATTGAAAAAAAGCGATAGTGATATATGGAACTTTTCAAGAGGCAAGCGCTGTGAATTGGGGTTAAGCACATCTTGCACTATTGATATTTATCTGAATTTTATATAGTTATTATTATTATTATTATTATTTTTAAAAGGATTAAAACAATTGAGGATAAAGAATATTATCATGCTCCTATTTTTATGTGGCTTCCCAATTATTGCTTTTAATTTTGAGATTGGTTTTTTTGTTTTTGTTATGATTCATACTTCCAACGTTATGTGCTTGCTGACCCCAAATTGTTGGGATAAGGCTTGGATGATGACGATGATGATGTTAAGATTCTTACTTCATGGTTGTTAATTAGTTTTGTTTTGAATATGTTTGTAACATGTATATAAAATTTTAGTTTAAATAAGGATAATGACGTAACATATATTAATTGATCCACCAAGACTAAGAACTCACACTTCACTGGAATACGCAACAATTTTATGTATGCCCCTGTGTGTGTGTGTGTGTGTGTGTAAGAGAGAGAGAGAGAGAGAGAGAGAGAGAGAGAGATATATTAATTAATATACGTCGTGTGTAGTGTTGTTACGTAGTACTTACTTACGTTGTTTTCGTTTTTCGTTTTTCGGTTTTGGGTTCGTACTACGT